GTTGCTGTTGTGATTCAGATAGTTAATATCATGATTTATAAAGATTTTGATAATAAAAGGCAATAGTAATGAAAACTTTTTGAAAAATTAGGTATTTGCCTTGAGTTTTGTCAGAACTGATTTACAAGGAAATTATTTAGAATGTTATGAGCTGCCTGTAGTTCTCGTTCATTGCAATATCATTTAAGTAGAAGAATAGCCCAGTGTGTTTTTAAAGGTTTTATTTTAGCAGTTTTGTTAGGAACGTGACCTCTACAGTTAACTAGTACATGCATTTTAATTATTTACATAGTGCATTGGATTTTTTACTTACACAGGCTCCTGAAGTTATTATGTCTCAACATTACGATGCTAAGGCTGACCTGTGGAGCATAGGAACAGTGATCTACCAATGTCTAGCTGGAAAACCACCTTTTCAGGTAACCAGGTTTTTTTATGATTTTTCTCTGTTTCACGTGGCTTTGGGATTCTGTAATGAAAGTATGGACTAGATCTAGCTCTGAGGTATCATTCGCAATTCTATGCCAACCTTTCTTCCCCTAATTACAGCTAGGTAAGAGGGAGTGTATTGCTTAGGTTTAATGGGAATTATTTTGTATCTTTTCCTGTTTTCTACTTCTCTAACAACTAGTTAAAAACCAACAAATTACAAACATGGTGATTTCTTTAAGATTTTTATTTCCAGAGTTATTATTTCTTAAGTTATAAAGAGTTTTTGTTAATGTAAAAACTGGTAAAAGAATGAAGTTCTTTGCCAAAGGTGGTACAAAAATGTCAGTGACATAGCCAAGTTCAACACTTTATTTTCCTGGTCTTATTTGTGTATGTAGGCAGTCTCTGAATTGTAAGCTTTCAACTTAAACACAATTCCCACTAGCACCTTAATACAGGATTTCAAACTAGTTTTGTCTTGGCTAGTGGAATGGAATGAAACACACTGAATTTTTTTTATTTTGGGTGATTCATCATGATAATTGGAACAGAAAAAGTTACTTGGCAGAGTCTTGGGATGAGAGATTCTGTAAGGTGTAGTGAGCCCTTTCATGACATAAATGTGTATCTCAGTCATTTAGGGGTGTTATATCAAATACAAGTGAATTAAAGAATAGTATGAAACACAATGTATGCAAACTTTGTAAGCAAAACAATTAAAGAAAAATAAATAAAAACAAAGCAAAACAAACAACAAAAAAAGCAGGCATGGAATCTCCCTTACATAGCAGAAAAGAAAATGTCAAATACCATAAGTGCATGGTTTTAACAAACACAGGTTGTTTTTCCATAGTTAGGAGGTTATGGCTGAGTTGGAGCTGACTCAGAGATGACCCTCCAGTGAGGTTTTGGATTCAGTTGTGTGGGAGGAAGTTGTCCATGTCTCCTGTGAAGTTATTGATGGTTTCAAACCAATGACCTTTAGGTTAGCAGGAGGCATAGATGTAGAAACTATGTGCTCCAGACTTCATCTTCCTGTTTACAGTAGGAGGACTAATAGAAATTGTACTAGCTAACACCTCCTTAGACATTGTTTTCCACGATCCCTACTACGTGGTAGCTCTTTGTCCTTTCTATAGGAACAGTTTTTGCCATCAAAGATGACTTGGGCTCTGGTTCCTGTTATTCATAGGATACACACCAGAGCCTACTTGAGCCAAAATTCAGTTTATAATTGTTTGTTGAGGTTAACCTTTACATTCCTCCCACAGCACTTCCTTGGCCTATCAGGCATAGCATGATACCTACCCAGACACCTGTACAGTATGAAACACCTTGTCATCCATAGGCTCATCATCGCAGCAGTAGTTGTAATCATAATAGTGTATATTGTTGAGAAGCATTTGCCTCAAAATGAGAATTGGATACAGTGAAATTAACAACCACTAATGGACTGCTAGGAGAACAAACAGATTTGTCCTGGAGAGGGTGAAGCCAGAGTGTTCCCTGGAGTCAAGGATTCTGAAGCTTCATCTGACATATTTTGGGCATGTTGCAAGGAGGGACTGACTGGTCCTTGGAAAGGGACATCATGTTTGGCAGAGTGGAGGGGAAGCGAAGGAGAGGAAGACCTTTGGTGAGATGGATCGATTCTGTGACTGGAGCAGTGGGAATAAGTGCGTTTGAGATGGCTAGGTTGGCACAGGCTAGAACAGCATTTAGAGCTCTTGTACATATAGGGTCGCTATGAGTTGCAGGCGACTCGATGGCACATAACAACAACAACAACAATATTGAGTGATAGCAAAGAGATTAAGATTATTAATAGCTTCAGCTGGCTTGGCTCTACAGTCAATACTTTTGGCACCAGTAGCCAGGAACTAAAAAAATGAATAGCAGTGGGAGAATCTGTTGTCAGGGACCTCTCCAGAGTTTTGAAGAGTAGTGATGTCAATCTAGAGACTAAGGTGTTCCTGATCCAGACTATGGTCTTTGCACTTCCTTGCTATGCATCAGCAAGCTGAACAGTGACTAGGGATGATAGAAGAAGAATCAGTGCCTTTGAGTTTTGTTGGAGAATATTGAACATATAATGGTCTACTAAGAAAATAAACATGTCTGTCTTGGAGCGGGTGAAACCAGGTTTCTCCTTGGAGGCAAGGATTTTGAGGTTGTCTGACATACTTTGGGCAAGTTGCATGGAGGGACCAGTCCTTGGAGAAGGACATCATGCTTGAAAGAGTGGAGGGACAGTGCAAGAGAGGAAGATTTTTGACTCAGTGACTGGGGGAGTGAGGATAGGTGTGTCAGAGACAATGAAATTGGTTCAAGATATAGCAGAGCTCAGCTGAGAGATGTATTACATAGGGTCACTATGAGTTGGAGTTGACTCGATGGCACGTACAACAACAGCAATAATATTGAGTGGGGGAGCTCTGGCGGCCTAATGGCAAGAACCTGTGCTGTAGTCCCACAGGCATGTGTTTCAAGGCTACCAGCTGCTCTGCAGAAGGATGAGCAGTCTCCTGTGCGATTAACTGCCTCTGAAAACCCACCAGAGGGTTAGCTATGACTCGGTCACGACTCTAAGGTACACAACAACAACAACAATATTGAGTGAGTTAATGGCTTTCCACACCATATCACACATTTGAAGAACCCACATTCATTAATGCCTAGAGCAAGAAAGAATTGAACCCCAAAAATTAGTTTCAAGCAACCACATAACCATTATGAATTTCTTACTATTATTAGAGATATTAGTAAAATCATTATATAACTTTTAAAGGTTAAGTTACAAATTTGATTCCTGTGTATCTCTATGACTTACCATTTCAACTAGAATTTTAAAGATGCCTCTTCACCCATCATGGAAGAATTAATTCACTTTCATGACCACACTATTATTATAATAGTAATTATATTTAGTACCGTAGACTTTATGTGATTTCAGATATATTAACAATAAAACTTACCAGATGAACAGCACATTGAAACCTTGCCCTATCCTGTGTCATCCTAATTGTCTCTGCCATGCTCAAGCCTGTTGTTTAAGTCATTAAATCCATCCATCTTGTTGAGGGTCCTTGAGCCTCCGCCCTTCACATCATGTTATCTTTTTCCAAAGACTGGCCTCTTTTGACAACATGCCCAAGATATGAGACAAAGTCTCGCTATCCTTGCTTCTACGAAGCACTTAGGTAGTACTTCCTCCTAAACAAATTTGTTTATTCTTTTGGTAGTTCCTGAAATATTCAGTACTTTTTATGAATAGCACTATTCAAAGGCATCAGTTCTTCAGTCTTCTTTATTTAGTGCTTTACTATGAGATGTCTAGCAGTTGAAAACACCATGACTTGGGTCAGGCACACTTTGGTCTTTAAAATTACATCCTTGCTCTTTAGAGTTTTAAAGAGATCCTTGACAGTGACTTTGCCCAGTGTAACGTGTCTTTTGGTTTTTTGACTGTTGATTGTGGATCCATGTAAAAGAAAGTCATTGACAACTTCAGTCTTTTCTCCATCTGTCATGATGGAGATTGCCTATTGGTCCAGTGGTGAGGGTTTTGTTGATGTTGAGATGTAATCTATGTTGAAAACCGTAGTCTTTGATATTCAGTAGCCACAGCAACCTGCAGGCTACCTGAGTATAAACACACTGATATGAGTGATGAAATAATGAGCCCTTGGAAAGGCTATGAACAGCAATAGGACAGTATTGGATACAATGTGAGATGGAGAAGTCCTGAGGTTGTAAGGCAATCACAATATGACTCTTTAAAATAATTTTTACTTTAATAATGATTTTTAGTCAGTAAAAGACCTTCATTTGTAGATGTGGTAAGTCAAAATGAAGGGAAATAACTGTAAACTTCCTTTGTAATTAGAATGTAATATTAGACATATGAATCTAGGAAAATAGGAAGTTGTAAAAAAATGAAACGGATCATAGCAATCAATATTTTAGGCATTTGTGAGCTGAAAGGACTAATGTTGACCATTTTGAGTTAGACAGTCATAATCTACAATATTGGGAAGGGATATTGAAGAGGAGTAGTATCTCATTTTTCACCTAAAAAGAACATTTCCATATCCTAAAGAAAAATGCCATCAGTGATAGGATGATATCCATGTGAATACACGGAAGACTTGTTAATACTACTGTTTTTCAGATTTGTAAACCAACACAAAAACCAAAACAAAAAAAAATTGGTCATTTCTGTCACCTTCTACACTTTGAAATGGATTGACAATATAAGCAAGATGTATTGACTATTTAAAGCATTTAGCTGCATAGATCATAGTAAATTATGCATAGTATTTTGAAGAGTGGGCATTCCAGAACACTTAATTGTGCACGTGGAACCTATGCAAAGACTAAGAAACACTAGTTTAAATGGATCAGGAGGGTATTGCATGTGTGAACATCAAGAAAATTGTGTGTCAGGGTGATATTCTTTGTCTATATATTTTCAGTATTTACGTTAGGATAATCTGAGAAGCTGGACTATATGAAGACTGTACAGGAAGGCACATCAGGAACCAGTGATGTGCAGATGACACAGCCTTGCTTGCAGAAAACCAAAAACTTATAATACTTATTGATGAAGTTCAATGACTATACCCTTTAGTATCAATTCCACCTCAGCATAAAAAAGTGAGAATTCTCACAACTGGACCAATAAATAGCATCATTGATAGAGAACAGATTGAAGTCAAGGATTTCATTTTAACTTGGACCTACTACTGACACCCATAGAAACAACTGTCAAGAAATAAAGGCTGTATTTACCTTGGGCAAATACACTGTCAAGGACCTGTTTAAAATTAGTAAAGAATAGGGATGTAATATAGAATACCAAGGTTTTTCTGACTAAGGTGTCAATATTTTCTGTTGTTTCATGTGCAGATCAGTGTTGGGTAATGAATAAGAAACACCAAAGAATTGATGTCTTTGAACTATGGTGTTGGCCAGGATTATCAGATATACTACGGACTGCTAAAAGAACAATCAAATCTGTTTTGGAAGAAGTGCAGTCAGTGTGCTGCTTAGAAGCAAGATTGTGAGGCTTTGTGTTACTTTGGACATGTGATCAGGAAGGACCAGTTCCTGGAGAAAAGATACCATGCTTGGAAAGATAGGGATCAGCTCTAGAGAGGAAGCCCGTCAGTGAAATAGATTGACAGAGAGCCTTCAACATTAGATCTCAGCACAGCCATTATTGTGAGGATGGTACTGGATCAGACAAGGTTTCCTTTTACTGTGTATAAATGTATTATAAATTCTAGCTGACTCCATGGCTTCTACTGGCCAACTGCAAGTTCATCAGCAATTCCTAGCTTTCAAGTTTAGATTATTTGTTATTTAGTACGAATATGAATGTCAATTTAAGGTTCAGTTTTTGATGGCTCCCTGTTTGAAATGAAGAAGAGAGATAAGCAAAATACATAGGAAACAAATTACTCCAAGTGTCATACAAACCTCAACCCACACAGCCCAGAGATCAGAAGAAATAGATGGGGTCAACTACCACTGTTTGCTGTCCTGATGGAGACTACTGCTGTGATCTTCTGCTGAAGGTCCTGGATACGGTGGGTGGAAAGTGTGAAGTAATACTCTTGAGCATTAAAAAAAATGTCCTAGCTTTCTAGTGCAATAGGTGAGTGAACAGTTCAGGCTGTGGCATTTGGTGGTTCTTCCAGCCTGAAATAAAGTTCACCTCTCTGACTCAATTTTCAGCCAGACAGTAAGCTTGTAAGGAAAACAGTAACACCAAAGAGGGAGAGAAAAGAATGAGGAACATCAATTGCATGACTTGGAATATTTTATCTCATTGTTTAAGAAACTAAACGCTTATTTTGTTTTATTTATAACAGGCCAGTAGTCCTCAAGACCTGAGAATGTTTTATGAAAAACACAGGAGCTTACTGCCTAGGTATGTGCTTTGGTTACACAGAGTTTTACTAGTTGTGAAGCACCGTTACTCATTTGATCTTTGTGTTTTTAATTTCTGTTATTAAGTATTTTTTCAGTAGACAGCAGTGCTAGAGTATTAATTGTCAAGTTAGAAAATTAATCTGTGTTTTTAGTGCTATTCTCTTTTCATGGTCCTTTTTTTTTTTAAAGTGTATTTTCCTCTTGAGGAAAAACTCTGGAAGTTTTTATCTTCTTTTAAGAGGAAGGATATAAAGTAAGATTCCCTCCCCCAAGTGTTCTCTTACTTTCTAGAGACAGTTTGCTGAGTAGTTTTTCAGATTTTTTTAAATGCATACATTTTTTATGTATTTGTATACTTTTTTGTTTATACATACATGTAATTTAATAGAAATTTCTTCGAGTTTTCTAATTATTCTGCAACTAGCTTTTTTATATGATTGATGGTGAGTAGCATCTGTATGAGTTAGAATGATTATAGAGATCTAATGTGCTGTGTTTGCTTTAGTCAAGATTCCTGTTTTCATATTTTGATGGTGGTTGTTAGGTGCCCTCGAGTCCACTATGACTTATAGCAGCCTTCTGAACAGCATATCAGAACATTGCTCTATCTTGCACCATCCTCATTATCTCTGCCATGTTCACCCTCTACCTTTCTTAGAATATGCTTTTCCAAGGACAACATCCTGACAACATGCTTTAGGTATATGACGTGAGGTTTCACTATCCTTGCCTCTGAGAAGCACCCTAGTTCAAGACAGATTTGTTTATTCTTTTGGCTATCCATGGGTTAATGCACTTCTCCAACACCACAATTAAAAATTGTCAGTTCTTTTTGTCTTCCTTATTCATTATCTAACATACAAAGCAACTGAAAATACCATAGCTTGGATAAGACACCCATTAGTCTTTAAACATCCTTACTCTAGAACTTCTAAAGGGGTTTTGACAGCACATCTTCCCAATCCAACATGTTCAGTTTTTTGACTGCTGCTTCCATGGGTGTTGATTGTGGATCTAAATAAAATAAAATCATTGACAACTTAAATCTTTTCTGCATCTGTCTTGATATTGCCAGTTGTGAGTTTTGTTTTCTTGATGTTGAGCTGTAACCCCAGTTAAAGGCTGTAGTCTTTGATCATCAGCAGTAAATACTTAAGTTTTTAATTTTCTGCAAGCAAAGTTGTATCATTTGTATAATGCAGGTTGTTGATGAATTCAAATCTGATGTCACGTTCTTGTTCACATAGCCCACCATCTCGAATGATTTGCTTAGCATACAGATTGAATAAATATGGAGAAAGGATACAACCCTTATGCATACTTTTCCTGATTTTAGTCAGTGTTCCCTTATTATATTAGTCTTATTCTGATGCATACTTTTCCTGATTTGAGTTAGTGTTGTCTTATTCTATTTGAACTAGATTGGGTCTGTGTGTGGATTCTATTTGAACTAGATTTGGTCTATGTATGGATTTTGCATGAGCACTGTTAAGTGCTCTTGGGATTAACATTCTTATCAATGTTATCCACAGATTGTTATGATTATGATCCACACAGTCAAATGTCTTTGTATAGTAGAGTATCTTTCTCTGTTTTCAGCCAAGATCCATCTGACAATTAGCTATGATATCCCTAGTTTTGTAGCCTCTTCTGTACCATAGGCCACCAAGAAAACAAATAGATCTGTCTTGGAGAGGGTGAAACTACCTTTCTCCTTGGAGACTAGGATTTTGAAGCTCCGTGTCACATACTTTGGGCACCTGGCCAGGAGAGACCAGTCCTTGGAGGAGGACATCATGCTTGGAAGGGTGGAGGGACAGTACAGGAGAGGAAGACCCCATATGAGATTGAGTAATACAATAACTGAGACAAAGAGGGTTGGTGCTTCAGAATTAGTGAGACTGGCTCAGCACAGGGCAGAGTTCAGGGCTGCTGTACATAGGGTTGCTGTGAGTCGCAGGCAAGTCAACAGCACATAACAATATATTTTTGTATATTTTTTATTGGTACAAGGTTGAAGTTGTATTAAACTCAAGATTTTCCTTAGTTGTGCAGTGTTTTATTCTTGCCATCACTGTAACAAATAACAATGAGTGCAATAATAGGAGATTTTCTCAAATAAATGTTATTTCTCAAAGGCAAGGGTTTTTTCCCCCTTTACTTTTAGGGCATGGGGCTTTACTGTGTTCATCTTGGTATAAATTGTAGTGCACATGAAACATTTACATTATGAAGGCAAGCATCATGTAGATAATATACATAAATTCACCATGTAAGTTGATTTTTTTTTTTCTTTTCCTCAGTATTCCCAAAGAAACATCACCTTATTTGGCTAATCTCCTTTTGGGTTTGCTTCAGAGAAATCAAAAAGATAGAATGGACTTTGGTAAGCAATGTTTTCAATTTCATGTGTGTTTGTGGTTGGAAAAGATTTTTTTTAAAATACTATACTTGTTTCAGAATAAAATTGAGATAATTTTAACTTTTTCCCCCCCTTATTATTTCTTCTTATAATAAATACTTAAGTGCTACCATGTTCCAAACACTGGGAATACAGTAATAAACAAAAGTCTGACTACTTCTTTTTTTTTTTTTTAATCTCTGACTTCTTACTGCATATATTCTGTACAGGAGACACAAGCAAATAAAAAATTACAATTGCGTTAGAATCTAGTAAGTACTGTGGAGAAAAACAGAAATAGGTGTAGGGTGAGTGTTGTGGTGGTGGTGGTGGTGTGCTGTTGAGTGGACTCTGACTCATAGCAAACCTATGAACAACAACTCTGAACCTTATCCTATCCTGAGATAGAGCCAGCCTCACCATCTCTGACACACCTGACCACAGTCATTGTGCAGTCCATCCCATCCAGGGTCTTCCTCTCCTGCACTGACCCTCCACCTTTCCGAACATGATATCCTCCTGGAAACATACCCAAAGAAGGTGAGTCAGAGCTTCAAAATCCTTGCCTCCAACAAGCAGCCTGCTTTCACCCTCTCCAGGTCATTTGTTCTCCTGGCAGTCCATGGAATGCTCAGTACTCTTCTCCAGCACCACAACTTAAAGGCATCAGTTTTTCTCCCATCTTTATTTATTGTCCAGCTCTGAGATTGAGTAGCAAGCAGTTGAGAAGACCATGGCCTGGATCAGGTGCATCTTAGTCTCTAGATTGACATTATTGCTCTTTAACACTTCTTTTTAGCAGTTTTTTTCCGTGTAACTCCTCTTTTGATTTCCTGACTGCTTGTGCCAGGGGTGTTGATTGTAGATTTGAGCAAAATGAAATCATTAACAACTTCAGTGTTTTCTTCATCTATCATGATGCTGACTATTGGCCTGATGGTGAGGATCTTTGTTTTCTTGATACTGAAATGCAATCCATATTTAAGACTATATTCTTTGACTTCAGCAAATGCTTAGAGTGCTCTTCAGTTTTGCTGAGCAAGGCAGGTCATCCACGTAATGTAAATTATTAATGAATCTACCGCCAATCCTGTGCCACATTCTTTTTCATAAAGTCTAGGTTCTTGAATGATCTGTTCAGCATGTCGATTGAAAAGGTATGGAGAAAAGATAAATCTCTGATGCACTTATTTCTTGATTTTGGGCCATGCAGTGTTGCCTTGCTCAGTTTGAACAGCATCTTCTTGGACTAGGTATGTTTCACATGAGTGCAATCAAATGTTTTGGGATTCCCATTCTTCACAATGTTAACCACAATTTGTTATGATCCACGCAGTTAAGTGCCTTGCATAGTAGATAAAACACAAATAGACATCCTTCTGGTACGCTGCTTTCAGCCAAGATCCATCTGACATCAGCAGTAGTATCCCTAGGGCCTCTTCTAAATCCAGCTTGTGTTTCTGATAGTTCTGTGTTAGTGGACTCTTCTAATCATTTTTGGATAATCTTAAGCAAGCCTTTTTGTGCTTGTGATATTAGTAATATTGTTTGATTATTTTCACATTCTGTTGGGTCACCTTTTTTGATAATGGTAATAAATACAGATTTCTTCAGTCACTTGGCCAGTCCTTCAGATTTCTTGCCATAAACTGGGAAGCCCATCTAGGGCTGCCATCTGTTGAAATATGTCAGTTGATATTGCATCAATTCCTGGGGCCTCATTTTTCACTAGTTCCTTCAGAGTATCTTACCTTCTTTATTACCATTGGTTCTTGATCATATGCTAATTCTTGAAATGTTTCTGTCAGCCAACATTTTTGGAGAGCAGTGACTCTGTGTATTCCCTTTATCTTCTTTTGATGCTTCCTGGATCATTTGGGATTTTGCCTATAACTTCTTTAAGTATTGCAACTTGAGTCCTCAATTTGTTCTTCAGTTCCTCCAGCTTGAGAAATACTACATGAGTTGATCTCTCTTGATTTTCTCATTTCAACTCTTTGCGCATTTCATTATAGTAGTTTGCTTTGTCTTCACAAACTGCCTTTTTTAATTTTCTCATTTCTTCCTTTTGTTTTGGCTTCTTGGTATTCTAGTGTATTCTTCAGAGTCTCTTCTATTAATCCATTTTGGTCTTTACCCCCTCCTCTGTCACTTATTGACCTGGTCTTGGGTCAGTAGTGTCCAAAGCCTAAATCCTGTTTTTGAGATGGTTTTTAAATTCAGGTGGGATAGACTTAAGTAGTATTTTGGTTCTTGTGAATCGGTTTTAATTTTCTTTAGCTTCAAACTGAACTTTTACATGATAGATGATAGTCTTTTCCACAGATGATATCAGTCTGATTCCTGTGTAATCTTATCAGGTGAGGTCCATGTGTGTGGGTGGTTTTTTTTTTTTGTGGTTGCCTTTTTTTTTTGAAGGAATGCAGATTAAGTTTTTATTCAACCATTTGTACACATTTCTTGTATCATACTCACTTTTAATCCCACATTCCATCACATTTCTCCACTTCTTCCTTTCCCCCCCTTTTTTTTTACTATTATTATTAAATTTTATTAATTTTAATGAACATTTACAGGGATTTTGGGTTTTCATTCCTTCATTGCTGCACCATTCTCTCTACCCTCCTCCCCAGTTTGTTCTT